CCTAACCCTCTGTGGCCAAGGAACCACAGCGGCAAAGGGGGTAACTTGTTAGCTCAGGAATAGAGCTTAAGACCATAGCAGTCTGAGAGGCCTGGTGGAAAACAGCACTGATGACCCAAAAGAGGCTATAGCTGGCCTTGGTTAGCTAGAGGTTGAGCTAACCACGGATGATTGAAGCATAATAGAGGAGAATGGAATTAGTCCGCTGGGTGAACAGAGGTATGTCAAGGCTAGGCTTTAGAACTGCTGGAGTTGAACAGTGTGGGTCTGAGGAGCCTGCGGCCGGAGTGAGTGACGGAGTGGTATGAGAAAAGGCGTCAGCTGGATGGTCCATTTTGTGCTGAAGGTTGGATACAAAACAGTCTTTCCAGGGTTAAATTAAAACTCCTTTATTAAAAGCCTCTCCTAAACCTCTAAAAGGGGTCATAGAATTATTATATAGGGGATAAGGTGTAAGATTGGTTGCGCTGAAAATGGCATATTTGCTCTTCTATGAGCCCTAATGCAAGCCTGTTCAAAAGCCCTAGAATTATACACCAGGTTTTCTTCCTTTTATGGTATGCTCATGAATATTTAGATGAGCCGTGCTCTGATTGGTTGGTTTACAATGAGCGAAGCTGCTGATCTCCTTGCATGATCCTGAAAATAAACAGTTTAAATATGCTTCTCTCTATGCGTGTGCCTACTTAAGAGTCCAAGAGCTGCCATTATGACAGTACATTGTTCATTTATGGTTATCTCCTGATCTTAAAGCGTATTCAGACATGTCTAATGCTTGTTTTCACAATGTTAACAAAGCCTTTTCTTTCACCATATCACTTGCTTTTCAGTCAAATGTAGTATTATTTCTGTTTTCATGTATTCCTGTTGTGTAAAACAGTAGTAGATAGAAAATGTACGATTTGTGGAAAAAGTTAATTTGAAAACAATGAAGAGACTACTTTCAGAAGAGCTGTAAAGGAAGAGTTTTACCTGGGCACTTTAACTGCTTTTTGTTGGTTTTAATGGGGATTTCTCTGTAATTTAAATCATCTCACTGTAGAGTAAACTGATGTGTGGTCACTTCCTACAAAAACTAAAAAAACACTGGATTTTGTTTCCAAGTTTGAAAATGTTTCGCTTTCCATCCAGGAAGCTTTTTCAATTCAAAATCTCAGACATGTTGTTGAGTTTGAGGCTTTATACAGCAGCCCAACAAAGCCTTGTTTTTGTGTAGAAAACATGCAAATTGAAACGTAAGAACGGGTCCTCCCCTTTGGAATGGTTGTTTGGCTTCTTTTGTTAGCCTGCAATACCCCATACCTGTCTACATCTCTGAAAGGGGGTCTATAAAGGGAATTTTGGCCTCCCCTGTAAAGGGGAAGGGGTTATGATGATAGCTGGAAGGGATCAACTCAATTGCTGTATTGTAGGTTTTTGAAAGCTGAAGTCCACCCCCTCTTTTTAAGGTTGGTTTCCTTCATGCTCTCTCAAACAACATATTTTCTTTGTCCAAAATGTGAACGTTCTGGTCTTCAAAAGTTTGAGAGGGACAAAGTCTGGTGGATTGTTTGTTTTTTTACTTTTTGGGAATGACTGACCTGGATAACTAAGAATCTTCACCATAGTTCTGGATATCTAGAAATTAATTTCCAATCTCAATATTCCTAATATTACTGGTCAGCATATGTATTATATTAGCTATGAAGAATTGTTTTTCAGATATCCTACTGAAAATCCATATTCAGTCAAGCTGATAACTGTCAGAACAGCTACTTAAAATATTTAAGCATTTCTAGGTGTATAAATCTTAATTCTTACTAGTATATTTTTTTAAATTCAGTTTAAAAATGTAAAATATATTATGTTTAGGTCTAGGAGTGTGATTTTGTCCAGGAAAAAATTTATTTTAGTGATCAAATAGTATGAAAGAGAGGAGTCCTTTAAATAAATGTAAAACCATCCTACCATAGCCAAATGGAACCTAGGCAGAGGTTAAACTAAAGAAACTAATTGCTCTCCTTCATCCACTGTCGACACAGCCAATCAGCTTTGAACCACACCTCAGAGAAAGCCAATCGGCATCCAACGTTAATCTTTAAAGGCCTCCAATCCACACTGGTCTTCTCCTAAGTGTGCAGGTGGTGGGTGATGTCTGACATCATTAAGATGACCCTGTTTCAACTGGAAGTCAGCTTTGTATCCTCCGCTCTGGCTACTGCTCAGATTATATCATCCGACCCTTCTGTTGATTCACGCAATGCTGCAGAGATTCACGGCTCCACCACTCCCTGTTCCTCCGCCTCCAAACATTTCTGTGTTCCAGCAATCAGCAGTCAGCTGGATCGCTCTGCGTTCAGCTCGCTGACACTGATTCTTTTGAGATGTATTGCTTCAAGGCTCTGGTGTTTCCACATTCATACCTTCAGCTCTTTCTCTATTGAAACACATTGATGGATAAATTACATCGTTCCTACCGCTGCAGGTGTAATGGTGCCCGTCGTGCATCGCAATGGTGCTTATAGTGCCCCTCTTACCATTGCTACAGGTGGTCACAGCACCCTTTTTCTGTTGCTGCAGGTGCTATGGCATTTTTATGTGCGCCGCTTCAAGGCACCACTTTTTCCATCGCTTAAGATTATGGCACCTCTTTCTCCATTCCCATAGATGCTTGCCGACCTCCATTGCTACAAGCACTCATGGTGCCCTCCATCTATCTCTGAAGGTGCTTCTTGGTGCAGTATATTTGTTGCAGCGGAAGTTTCTGCCGCCCTTTCTCAATCACTACAGGTGCATATGCTCCCTCCATTCAGCACTGCATGCATTTATGGTGTCCTGCATCATCATGGCGGGCTAGCCTCATGGCGCCTATCATTGTGGCCATTTAAGGTGGCAGCATTACGGCGGGCATTTTATGCCGCCTTCTAGCATTGTGCCAGGTGGCACCCATACCCATTGCGGCAGACATATCCCACTTTTATTCCATTCCTGCAGCACTTTATGGCGCACTTTTCTATCACAGCCAGTGCATGATGGCGCCCCAACTCTTTGCTTCAGGTGCATCACGCTTTAATCCATCGCAGCAGCACTTATAGAGCTCTTTTCATCGCAGAAGGTGCATTTTGGCCCCTCAATTAATTGTTCCAGGCACATCGCACCCAAACCCATCCATGCCTTCGCATCACGAACGCGCTTCGCTTCAAACCCCTTAGCACATCATAGCATACGTATCTCAACTGAAACATCACGCTTTAACCATCTCGGCTTCATTGTTTCGTCTTTGGTTATCGTGGCTTGCGGGTTAGCCTAGATCATTGGGTCTCCATCTCACTTTCTCAGCTCATCGTGTCTCCGTATTAAGTCCCCATCTCTTCACTGTACGTGCATGTGTTCTTTCCTTGCACGCTCAGCTCATCGCTCATAGAGCTCGTCTGTGGTTGTGGCAGGCCCGAGGGCTCAGCAACAGCCTATCATTGCTGTTCACCACAGTTATCACTGCATCATGATTTTCAAGCGTCAGTGTCTCCTTGCTTGGTCAGCCAATTTTACCATTGGGCATCATCCCTGCGTTGCTCTTTCATTCCCAGACCGCTTGATCTGGCCATTTGCATTTCCTTCCTTCTTGTCCAGGTTCACTGTTCACTGTCTCATCATTCTGTCTGCAGCCATGCTTCAATTTTATAGGTTTTGGGGGGTTCTTTCAAATAGTTGGTTCACAGTTCATGGCCTGCTCCTCTCATCATTTCAAATTATCTGCTGTCAGGTTTACCCATTAGCTCTAGCTTGCATCATCGGGTCATTCATTCTGAATGGAGCAGCCACAACAATGGTCTGTGGCGTCTCCTTGACTTTCTGAGCAACAGGGCTGATGGTCATCAGTTTGTGCCTTATATATCCACCCTGAACATGCATTCATCCATCTGAAATGCTCAACATTCTCTCAGCCTTAAGGGTTAGCTAACTTTAAATACTGCTGGTAGTTGCAAAACTCATTCACATCCTTCATCAGATCCGGATATTGGTTATTTCAGTTGTGTTTATAACCCATTCCCATGAATCATCTCACTCCTGTAGTTCGTCATGCCAGATGGTTTTTATACCAAGCTCCCTTCTATCAATCATCCTACCATTCATCCTACCAGTCTTCCTATGATTCATCCCAGCAATCATCACAGAATTCATCCCCTCCTTCATCCCATCACCATTCACCTCATCTCACAATGCCTCCATAAACTTTTGGTAGGCTTTCGCAGCAACTTGCCCTCTTTTGGTAGGCCTTTGCGGCAACTGGCCCTCTTTTAATAAGCCTTCGTGGCACTGGCCTTTTAGTAAGCCTTCGCGGCTCATCTCCTCTGTTTCTTCTCCTGCTGTTCTACTTTTCTTAGCTTTCAGTTCAGTCTCTGCCTTTCTGAACATGCTGTCATATCGGCTTCAACCTCAGCAATTTTTTGGGGGGGAAACGGCTCCCTTCTTTGCTCCTGTTCATGCATCAAAAATTTAAGCGCTATGTTTGCTGCCAAGGTCTCAGCGCCAAAGACAAAGTAATTGTACCATTAAATTCTTCTAATTGTCTTTTCACTTTGTGTGAGTTTTTCCAGATTAAACTTTGTATAAACCTATGCATTAACACTGGCCACAATCTTCTCCTTGGCCACCTTCCTCTACGTTGTAGCTGTAGAACTGTTTCTTTGTCTTTAAAGCACATTTTCCTTTTTTATATTATTCTACTTTTTCATTTCTACATTAAAATCTCTAGTTCCAGTGGGGTTAAATAGGCACTGCCTGTTTCTTGATCTCAGGTGACTCTTTGAATCGGTGCTCCACTAATAATGGCTTTTCATACTTGTTGTGCATATGTTAAACTCTAAGTGGACCTACTTAGAATTGATTTAACTCATTCATAGCAGCCATTGTGAAGCTGAAACCAATCTTTTCAAGCCAATTTTGATATTTGTCTCCCTCTGTGGATGAATCTAATGCTCATATATGCAAATTGGGTAATGGAAAGATAGATACTACTTTCAGAAGAGCTGTAAAGGAAGAGTTTTACCTGGGCACTTTGACTTCTTTTTCTTGTTTTTTATGGTGATTTCTCCGTATGTTAAATCATCAGGTCTCACTGTAGAGTAAACTGAAGTCTCGTCACTTTCTACAAGTAAAAAATAAATAAATGCATTAATCATTTTCATACAGCTGTACGGAAAAAGCAAACAATCCCCATAGGGATAACATTGAAGTGTTAATCACCACTGTTTAAATACCACTGAAAGCCAAGGGTAAGTTAGTGTAGAGGAATTTCAGAAAGGCTTTAGCAGCAAGTGGAACATATATCCAGAAGGAGCTGTGATCAAAACATGCAGACCAGAGGGAAGCACAGTTTTGGAAATGTTGGAACCTGACTAGAAAACCATAACTTTATTGATCAGGAGTCTGTTTCAATAACAC